GTTAACTGCCCCACTGACGGATTTACAGCGGAAGTGGGTCGCTTTTACGTGGGGGGAGAAAGAGCATGCTGCCTTCTGTGCCCTGAAAAATGTTCTCTGTTCACCGCCCGTCCTGCGCATCGCCGACCCACACCGCCCATTCGAAGTAGTTACAGACGCAAGCGATATTGCCATCGGAGCCGTACTGCTACAGGATTTTGGCAATGGCCTACATCCTATCGCATACGAGTCACAAAAACTGCATCTGCCCGAGAAAAATTACCCGATACACGACCGCGAAATGCTTGCGATCGTGCACGCGTTCAAAGTATGGCGCTGTTACTTGACTGGCGCGGACGTGACAGTACGGACAGACCATAAATCACTACAGTACTTTCGCGCACAGCCACACCTCAACCCACGACAGATTCGCTGGCTCGATTTCTTCGAGTCCAACTTTCACTGCACGGTCACTTACAAAAAGGGAGCCTCGAACATCGCCGACGCACTGACCCGCCCCACTGCCTAGATCCACGCAATACTACTCGCCCAGACAAGCCCGCTACTGACAGGCCCATTCACCAACGGGTACCAAACGGATCCATTCTTCACAGGAGGAAATTCGCAGCAAAGGGAGTCTATTACGTAAAAACCGGGACTGACCGCATTTGGGTGCCTGGGTATACACTGCTTCGGGAATTACTGTTACAGGAGGCACACAATGGAGTTACCTCGGGGCATTTCGGAGTAGAAAAAACACGGCAGCAGCTGCAGCGGTATTATTACTGGCCCGAAATGTTGACCGACGTACAACGACACGTGGCATCGTGTCCCACTTGTCAGCTCATGAAATCATCACGACAGCGGCCGGCGGGACAGTTGCAGCCGATACCACCCCCAGAGCGTGCTTGGCAGCAGGTGTCGATGGACTTCATTACGGGGTTACCAGCCGGCGCGAGTGAGAACGACGCGATCTTGGTCGTCGTCGATCGACTGACGAAAATGGCACATTTCGCAGCCTTCAAAAAATCAATCACAACCAAAGAAACAGCACACCTCTTCATCTCCACCGTCGTAGCGACCGCGATACGAAATTCACCAGCAACTTCTGGCGGAACCTGTGGCAGCAGTTCGACACGCTACTACAGTTCAGTTCATCATACCACCCCGAAACCGACGGACAGACAGAACGGACAAATCAGACCATGGAACAGCTCATCAGGGCCACGTGTGACGACCCGACCACGCGGGAACAGCAACTGCCACTAATCAAATTCGCGTACAACAACTCGCCATCCGCCACGACCCAACAGTCACCATTTTACCTAAACTACGGACAAGACCCGACAGTACCCATGACCCCGAATCCCGACAACCCAGTACCACGAGCACAACAGTTCGCCGAAATATTACAAGCAGCACGGACCCGGGCAGTAGACGCAATAAAAAAATCGAACATCATCGCTAAACGCAACGCCGACCGCCACCGCTGACCTGTCACTTACCAGCCCGACGACTTAGTTTTACTTGACACTCAGAACCTCCGACTGCCCATCACCCCGAAACTCCGCCCCCGATACTGCAGGCCATTTCGCATAAGCCACATGCTTACACCCGTCACCGCCCACCTCCTCCTCCCTGCTAACTGGTACGTCAGCTCTTCATTCCACGTCAGCCTACTTCGCCCTTACGTCCCGTCCATGAGCCAACTGCCACGCAATCGCCCAGCCAGCATGACAAGACCACCAACTGAACCAATCATCACCCCCGAGAAAATCCTGAGTCACAGAGTTCGCGACCCTCGAGGAGCCCGAAGGATCGAGTTCTTACTCCGCTGGAAGGACTGTACACCCACCGAAGACAATTGGGTTCCCCTGGACAGAATCGAAAACCACCCCGTCCTCACCGAGTATATGCGCAGCCGAAATTTCAGGGATGCACACGCACTTTCGTAAGGAGGACCTCCTTAGGAGGGGGGGGGGTAGTGTAAGGAAAATTCCTTTTCCTTACTTCGCATCCCTGCTCAACGCGTACATCACTGTAGCACCACAGTCAGCACCGTTACCACTCGCAACCCTCACATCGACAATCCGCCCGCCACCTTCGCACATCGCACCCTGACCTCACGGCTCGGCGAGTAACCCGCGCTCCGGGCCTTTGCTTCGACAATTTCCCAACCTCAGTCCCAGGCCCGTCGCGCGACAACCACAGTCCATTACCGTTACCACTGTAGTTTCACTATATATTCTTCGATAGTGCAATTCTCGTTCGTTCACTCAATTGCACTCATAACAACTTGAAACTTAAGGTTTGAATATCCAAATTGAGTCTAGTGCGTAGAAGAAGATTGTGCTGGACCCGATAATGAATGGCGACAGTTGCACTGTACTGTTTCCGAAGGTTTAGGGCAGTCCACATTGTGCTTGCCGAACCCTGACGTGGCAATGCATATATTTTGGTAACTTGTAGCTTCCCCTCTTGTAGGGCAGGAAGAAAGGATTTTTCGGCCAACCATTGAGCCGTCAGGAAACGACTCAGCAGCCCAGAACATGTGGGCTTTCCTTCGACACATCAGCCTCCAAAGCGACCGACATAATCGAGGATGGCAACCAATCATGTGTCACCATCAGCTTAATTGTCACCGTTTCGAGACGCTGATGACGTGGCTAGTTTAGGTCTGGCAGGCTCAACCTGTGGCTCGGTCGGAGCTCTGGTAGGTTGAAAGTCCGGGGTGAAGCCTCTTCACCTCAACCATAGCGAGGATTTTGGTCTGGTCGCACTCCGAGCCACGATCTTCTCCGTGAAGCCTCGTTTGGCCAAGCTACCACTTTGGCCATCGATATTGGGTGTGATCGTTGGTCGATGAGAGAGGGTTTCCTTTCAATGGGGGGTGTGAGCTTCATTTTGGCTTGAGTTCTGGTTCGGTTCGGACCAGAGTTGCCTGCCTGATCGAGTTTGTTGGCCAGCTTTGCTGTGGCCTTCCACTCACTAGACAGTCGCAACCGCGGTTCCTGGGAGCTAGAGCAGCGCAGATTCCCCAAAGCCGCTAGCCTAGCCAATCAGGAGCCGATTGCATTTCGTCGCCATGTCATGCGCAAGAACCTCACACAGGAGCTCTGGATCACCCTTTTCAACCAACAACCAGTCACGCCTCAACCACGTGGCAGTGGGCACTTGGCGCCTCCTAGCCATCTCCAGGAAACCCCACAAAGCCTGGACGTCGGGTGTGGCTCGGCCGCAGCTCGGATCAAGGCAAGGAATATAATCAGCAGCTTCAGCAATCTCGAACACAGCAACATCGATTCAACCAAGCAAAAGTGAGACGTCTGGCACCTATCTCCAGGTCGGCAGACTGGGAAAGTAAGGTTCGGACATTCGAACCTCGATCTCAACCAATGACCTGCCCGACCAAACCTGCTCGCATCTCTTCGCGTTTACTTTCCCCGCCAAACCCGTGCCGAGCCTGGCTGGAGGCTGGATATGCCTCGGCCCAATCAGAGGTTTGTTTTGAAAACCTCGCTTTGATTGGCGGGAGAAGGAAGCACCAACTGCTTTGTGAAGGTGTTTTGCTGCCTGCAAGCCTCCTCTCCGTTCCTCTCCAGTTCTCTCTCCTCTCCTCTCTCCTTACCTTTCCTCCCCCTTTTACCAGAGCCTCTATTCGTCTAGGTTCTAGATGCGTGTGTCTGGGGTTGTGGAAGAAGAAGTAAGGTCACGGAAAGGTTTTGACCGGAGATTTGTTCTCCTTTTGGTTGCTTCTGGTTTCGCTGGTTGTTGCGATGGGTTTTGGTCGCAATGCCAGTCCCGTGACTGAGGCCGAGTTCGGCCTAGACGCTGACGCTGATAGGAATCTAATGAAAGCTGGCCGACGTTGCGGCTAGAAATTCGTTTCAGGCTTTCTAGATACGCCGTTAGGCGTGAAGGCTTTCTTCGATAGGCCAGATTTTCCAGTCGCGTGGATATTGTTGAAGTCAGAAATTCCGATCGTTATTTTGAGACGATGGACAGGATGAGAGAAACGAGAAAAGGCGATAAGGGTCCCGTGACCACTCCGACGCAGCGTCGCTCGCGGAGCTCCATTGGACCTAAGGAGACTCAAGGTAATTCAGATACTAGTCGACAATGCATAGTCATTCAATTACTCTATTAGATCCCGAGCCGTCACCTAGCTTTTTAGATGATGCGAAGTTACGGTGTGGATCTGAAGTTCCCTGAGGAAGTTAAGAAGATCAGTCCGCATTTTTTCATGAGCTTTAGTGAACGGTGTCGTGCTGTCGGCCTTTTCGTCGTGAGATTTGGCGATTATAAGAGACTCTTTGCGAACAACTTTCCAACTCCGTCGAACAGTTTTTTTTTCTCCAGTAGTTGGCATTTTTTTACGCAGCCGGAGGTTCCACTTAGCCGAGCGTTATTGGCTGATGCTGGTAGCTGGAACTGGCGAATTCTTGAGCCGTTAAAGTTTTTTTGTCGTTGATTTAAAGGAATGTCGGTGCAGTCGCCAGGTAGATGTAACTCACGTTAGCTTGGTAGACGTTGAACGTGTCAGGCTCGGTCGTTGTTACGAAAGGCAGCACTTTCTCCTCTCCATCCGCGTTAATGGCATACGAGATAACTGCGGTTATGACTTAAATGATCGGAGGTTTAGTTACGTAACGGTCGCTGAGCCTTCATGGCGCTAGTATTTTACAACAGAGCTTAACACTGTCGTTTACCCCCTTTATCCATTTGATAAATACCGATTCTTTTAAGCGCTTTGAGTTACAGATGGTTTATAGACGCCTGGTTTTAAGACGCTAAGAGTCTCTTTTCCTCTTGTGACTTTTATGTCCTTCTGCGGTATCTTATGCGCGGTAAAAGTAGCTCGATTTCCGTTTCGATTTCGTTTTATATTGATACCAATGGACCTCTGTCGAAGGGCCTTTTTTCACGATAGGAGAAAAAGCGGTCCTGTATCAGCCATATGGTTTTCTGAAGCATTTTTGCGCATCCTACATTCTTCGACATTTCCCTTGACCCACGAACAGATGCTGGGCATTCCACACCCGATGGGTCTGGACTTGAGAGCCACGGCTCACGAGGAGGAGGAATCGCGAGAGGTGACACAAGCGGAGGTGGTGGTATCGAAGGATCCAGTCGACACTCCGTCGACATTGGCGGCGGGAATAATGCTGGAGCTGGTACTAACGCGTACAACTCCACGGGGTCGAATAGCCGGAAGCGAGACAAACCGAGGGTAGGCTCTGGAGGATCCAACGGCTCAAAAACGAAGCGCAAGCGGAGTGCGTCCGAGGCCGTTTCCCCCTTCTCCCCTCAAGCGGACGAAGAGGAGGAGGCCACTCCGCCACCAGGCGCAGTCGCGGGAGCAGGGGAGGCCGTGGGGATTAGCGCGCATGGTGATTTCCCCTCGCCCGGGGACCCGCGCGAGGACTCCTCCGCGGGATCGAGGCGTCCGCCGAAGTTCCGCCTTCCAGGCTCGAAGCTCGAGGTACGTGCGGAAAGGGGTAGCGGGTAACGAGGGAAACCGCTGGTTGTGCCTGATAAACCATGCTGTTTCTTCTCATGTCTTTCATTGCCGCTTGACCGTTCCTCCTCGCCGTTTCCCAGCTTTTTCCTTAAGCTCCGTACCTACTAGCGCTTCAACCATTGAACCGCTCCTCGTCTCCCTGTGTCTCCTCCTTACCGTTCCTTTTCCGCCCTCTTTCTCCCCGCGCTTCTCCCCTTTGTCCCCCCCTTTGTGGTGGATACAGTCGATGGATGAGAACGGCCCCGTCACTCTCACAGCAGTGCCTCGCCGCACACGCACTGGTAAGGAGTGCAAACCCACGAGGAGCCTATTTGCTAAGTTGCTCGCTTCGCCCGCCTGTCGTGGAACCGTTGTTCTTCTCTCCCTTACTCCAGTGCATTGCTGTTCACTGACACTTGTACGCCATAATGGAGTGTTCGTGCTCGCGCACGTCGTTGTCATGTCTTGTTGTACCATGTTCCTTTGCACTACGAAGGGCTTCACGTGCCTGATTGCTTAGGCCTGGCACCTATTGTAGCTACAGCATGCCACAGCGCCTCACAGACGGATGAGTGGGCCGTGCAGCCTCAGCCATTCAGCGCCAGCCATTCAGCCTCAGCCTCTCAGTCTCAGCCTCTCAGTCTCAGCCTCTCAGAGTCTCAGTCTCAGCCTCTCAGCCTCAGCCTCTCAGTCTCAGACTCTCAGTCTCAGCCTCTCAGTCTCAGCCTCTCAGTCTCAGCCTCTCAGTCTCAGCCTCTCAGTATCAGCGTCGTTTTCTGATCATTGTCACACGTTTTGCGCCATGGTGTCCTGCTCAGGCTGACTTGTCTACCTGTCTCCTTCCCACTCCCGTCTCCATCTCCGCTTGCATCATCCTCCTCCTCCTCCTCCTCCTCCTCCTCCTCCTCCTCCTCCTCCTCCTCCTCCTCCTCCTCCTCCTCCTCCTCCTCCTCCTCCTCCTCCTCCTCCTCCTCCTCCTCCTCCTCCTCCTCCTCCTCCTCCTCCTCCTCCTTTACTGAAACCACAGAAGGTGGTGCGTTCGTTGGGCCCTTTCAGCCAGGCCTTATGTGCTCCACGATCCCTGCCTCACGTGGAGACGCATTGCTCGAGGCTCCCGGCACTTCCCCTCTCTCTCCCCTCCACCTGCACCCAGAATGAAGCCCGATCCTCCAAGCCTCATTTTCCGAGCGTGACACTTGCTGTGCTTAAAATGGTGCTTTGCGAAAAGACAACTTAGTCTTCGTGTGAGAAACCTTGCAAGTTCTACTTCCCTCCCTCTTTCCTGTGCCTTTCTCTTGCAAACTGCAACCCCCTGTTTGTTCAATAGAGCCGTGGTGAGGCTGACGTCCGAGCCCCATCATCTGGACGTCACGCCCCGTTGGGACCGTGCATCGCATGAAGACAAGACACCTTGGTGTTTCACTTGTGATGTTCCTCAAAAGCTCGTCTTCCCTGCTCCCCTCCCCTGCGTCCCTGTTTGTACGCTACAGCCAAGGTGAAACGGTCGTCAGAGCCTCATCACCTGGACGTCACGCCTCGTTGGGACGGTGCTTCGCATGAAGACGCCTCACCGTCTCCTGGCTCGTGGGAGAGGGACAGAGAGAGGGAGAGGAAGGAGGAGAGGAAGGAGGAGCGCGGGAGAGACAAACGGGGGGAGAGCGAGCGTTGGCATGAGGGAAATGCGCTGACGCCGCCGCTGGGGTCGCACTCCCCGTCGGTTTTCTCCTCGCCTGCTGCTGGCGCAGGGGGGGAGAGAAGGGCGGAGGAAGGGGGAATGGGGCAAGAGGAAAGGCAGGAAGGGGACGATTGGGGAGTTAGCGGTGGTGGGAACGGGGGCGAGAGAGAGGCGAGCGGGGAGAGGGAGTTGAAAGGGCAGGCGGCTATGGCGCACGGCAGGGAGAGGAAGGTTATATCCGGGGAGGGCTCTCACTCTCGCAAGAGGAAAACGTCTGCTGCTGCGGCTGCTGCTGCCGTTGCAGCTGTGGCAGCAGCGGGTGCTGCCGCAGCTGGTGCTGGTGGCGTTGGTGTTGGTGACGCTGGTGTTGGCGGGTCTCCTGCAGCAGGGAAGGCAGCGGGTGCGTTTCTGGGGGACTCTGCAATGCAAAGCACGGGCTTACGATCCTGGCCGGGGTCGTTGAGCCCAGGGAGTGGAAATAACTTCGAACAGCAGGAAAGGTCGGAGGACGGGAGAAGGAGGGCGGTTGGGAGAGAGCAGAGAGAGCATGGGTCCCACGGCGGTGGGGTTGACGCTGGGAGGGAGAGAGGGGAGGGTGAGGCGGAGCAGGAGGGAGTGGGAAGTGGGGGGACGGGAGGTTTGAAAAGGGACCAGAGGGAACAGAGGGAGCATCGGCATCCTGTTGGGAAGAGAAGAGGGGTTAAGGAGGGGCGGGATGGGGTGCCTAGGGCCGGGAGGGAGCACAGGGAGCATAAGGATCATAAGGAGCATAATCAACGTGTTGAGAAGGAGGCGAAAGGGGAGAAGGAAGGGCATGAGCCGCAGCTGCTGCATCTGCGGCCGCATGAAACGGGCAAGAGGGGCAACAGGCACAAGCACGACTCGCCAGCAAACCAGGCTCGGGCTGCTGGACCTGCAGGCGGGCCTAGTTCGGAGCAGCTGGAGCTGCCGAGTCAAGGTTTCCCGGTTCAGGAGTTAGGGAAGGGAATGGCGCAGTTGAGTCAGAACCAGGGAGCGGGAACGGGGCTTAGAATACCGCCGTTCTCTTCCCCGTTTCTCCAGCAACCGCTACAGGGGTTGGCACAGCCGCTGCAGCAGCAGCAGCAGCAGCAGCAGCAGCAGCAACAGGATCCTTCAGCATCACTTCATAAGCATGGGCACGGGCATGGGCATGGGCTTGCGCATGGGCATGGGCATTGGCATGGGCACGGGCATGGGAAGTTCGGGCATGGGCATGGGCATGGGAGCTTGGGGCCTGTCCCTTCCCATTCCCTGCCTGACTCCATGCCTCCCCATTTGCCCGGCCAGTCCGGTCACGGATTGCAAGCAGGAGGGCACGGACACGGGGCGGCAGTAACAGGTCTTGCGCCTGCTGCAGACCGCATGGGGGGCAGCGAGGGGGGAAGCTTGGGGGGAGCCTGGGCTGGGAGCAACGAGGGGGGAAGCTTGGGAGGTGCCCGGTTCGGAGGCAGTGAGGGGGGGAGTCAGGGGGGAGACATGAGGCAGCCTGGCGGACAAGGGCTAGGGATGCCAGGGAGGGTTTCTGTGGCGGCTGGTGCGCCTGGGACGCGTCTGTCTGGTGCTGGTGGTTCTGTGGGAGTGGGGGTTGGAGAGGGGGAGGTGCGAGCAGCTCGATCCAAGCCAAGGAAGAACGAGGTTCGTGGCCCCTTGTTGCATCTCTACTCTCTACTTTTCTCTGTCTTCTTTTCCTCCCATACTCTTGTTCCCTTGCCCTTTGTGTATACTTCTTTGTATCCATTGTCCAGCATACTCTCTCTCTCTCTCTCCTAGTGTGCCTCATCTGTCTTCTCGCATCTCCACTCATCTCCTCTCCTATCATCTCCCTTCCTCTCCTTTCACCTCGTCTCATAGATTACCAGTTCCTGTGCTACAAACCCTCTTCCTCTTAGCGACTATGTTTTTTGAGAATTCTCAAAAAACACTCCCTCTTAGCGACTATGTTTTTTGAGAATTCTCAAAAAACACTTCCTCTTAGCGACTATGTTCCTTTTCGTGCATTTTTTCCTCTACCAGAGAGCAGCAGCAGCAGCGGCGGCAGCAGCACAAGCAAGAGCTGAAGCCGGTGATCCAAAGCACAGGCTGGGAGGGGACACGGATGCATCCCACATCAGACCCTTCGCGCTCCCTCCTACTCCGTCTCCTCCTCCTGCTGCTGCTGCTTCTCCTGCTGCTCCTGCTGCTACTCCCGCTCGCCCAAACGCGTCAGCAGCAGCAGAGATGGGATCTGGTTTCGCTAGCAGCAGCCACGCAGCAGCAGTGCCAGCAGCAGCAGCAGCCGATGCAGCCTCTGGGTTCATATCCCCCCACACAGACGCTGCTGCTCCTGCAGCAGCGGCAGCTGGGGGTGGGGCGGCACATGTGGACTGGCGCTTAGGACAGGGTCACGCTGCCTCTGGGGTTGGGGCTGCAGCTGAGTCCGGGGAGAGCAAAGCGGCTGGGAAAGCGGGTGGTGGGCATGGGGATGGGGAGGGAGCGTTTGCAGGGAGAGGGAGGGGAGTGAGAGGTCTGGGTCGAGGGGGACGAGGCGGGGGACGGGGAGGAGGAGGAGGGGGAGGAGGAGGGGGTGGGGGAGGTGTTGGTGGTGTGGCGGGTGTGGTTGTTTCAGCAGGAGGAGAAGGAGAGGAGGGAAGAGGGGGAGGTGAGGGAGGCAGGGGAGGAGGTGGGAGTGGAATAGAGGAAGGTACTGAAGCTGGTGCAGGGATAGCAGTAGGTGGTATGGGCGCTGCTGGTAGTACTGGCGCCGGTGTCGCTGCTGCTGGCGCTTCTGCTGCAGCTGCTGCTGCTGGGGCCGCGACAGTGTTTGCTGCAGCAGCGGCTGGTGCGGTGGGTGTTTCCTCTTCAGCAGCAGCTGCGGCAGTGCCGGCTGCAGCTTCAGGCGGGAGGAGCAGAGGCGGGGGGCGGGGAGGGGGGGGAACTGGGCCCAGAGGCGGGGGGAGGGGGAACAAAGGGGAGGGAGGGGAGGGCGGAGGGCGAGGGGGGAGGGGGGCGAGGAGCGGTAGGGGAGAGGGGGGAAGAGGAGGGGCTGGGCAGGCAGGGGCCGGCGAAAAAGTAAAGGGACGCACGGCAAAGGTAAGCTTGGGTTTTCCTTCTCTGTCCCTGTCTTTCGCCTCGTAGTTCCACCATTCTGTCAGGTTTGTCAGCAAG